CGCTTCAATGCGTCAGAGAGTACAGGCTGAGTTCTCATCCATCTCAAGGTCTGATGATCAGTCCTTAGGATGAAGAACCTCCCAAGGAGATAGTGTCTCCAATGGGTCAGCGCCTTGAACACCGCATAGAGTTCTTTCTCATAGGTGGACTTGGCCAACTTCTGAGACGGCATTTTCTTGGACATGTAGTCAACAGGCCTCAACTTTGGCCCCTCCTGCTGCGCAAGCACGGCGCCAATGCCATATTGGCTAGCATCCGTGGTTACTATAAACGGCTTATCAGGATCAGGAAGTGCATGCTTCAAATGTTTGAAAGCAGCCTCGCACTCATCTGTCCACTCCCACGGGGTATCAAGGCGGGTCAGAGCAGTCAAAGGGGCGGCCACTATGCTATAGTTCTTTACAAAAGTCCGGTAGTAGCCTGTCATTCCTAAGAAAGATCTCATCTCAGTCACAGACTGAGGTCGTGGCCAATCACGAATGTTGGCCACCTTCGCGTCATCGGGCTTCAACCCTTCCGCGGAGATCTCATGACCCAAGTACAAGACACGGGTGCGCCCAAACTCACACTTCTCACCGTTGATCTTGAACTTGTGTTGTCGCAGGAGACTAAGGACTTTGTCCAAGTGTGCAACGTGCTCCTCGCCAGTCTTACTAAAAATAAGTATGTCATCGAGGTACACGATGACAAACTTATCCAAGTAGTCATGGAATATCCGATTCATAGCGTGCTGAAACGTGCCAGGAGCATTGCACAGGCCAAAAGGCATCACCACAAACTCGTACAGACCGTACCTGGTCTGAAATGCGGTTTTGTGTTGATCCTCGGACCGGATTGCAATCTGATGGTACCCGGACTTCAGATCTATCTTACTGAAGTACCGACACCCTTGCACTCTATCTAACAGATCGTCGATGTGCGGTAGGGGCTCTCTATTCTTTAACGTGATGGCATTGAGACCCCTATAATCAATGCACATCCTGAGAGTGCCCTCCTTCTTCTTAGGTACGAATAGTACTGGAGATCCGTAAGGAGAGACACTCGGCCGGATCCAACCCTTCTCTACGAGTTCCTTGAGTTGGCGGCGAAGCTCATCAAGCTCGCCTGGAGACATCCGATAGATCCTACCCTTCGGAATACTAGACCCTGGGATAATCTCTATCGCGCGGACGACCTCCCTATCAACAACCCTTGTCGGCTCTTCAAATAGATCAGGGTACTCGGCAACTACTCCCTCTATCTCCGACGGCATTTTCACCGGCTCACCTGCAGCAGAGACATAAACCAAGTACATACCCTCCTCCTGATGTTGCTTATAGTAGTTATAGAACGTGGCCGCACACATGCATCCATGGGAATCGATCAGACTACTAGCTTTGAACTGATGTAGTCTGGCGGTCCCTCCACCTCGCAAAGTGTGTTTGACCACTTTTCGGTCCCAGTCAAACTGGGGCTGTGCCACAGAGAGGTAGTACATACCTAACAAGATATCCATAGGGAGATCGTCGCTCACTAGGAATGAGACAGGATGCGTCAACTCCCCTCCCGCGAACGGGAACAGGCATTCTACATCCTGAAGGTAGTCATTAACTACCATGCGCTGTTTGTTGGCACGGGTCGACTCCACAGGCCGACTCAGGCGCTGCACTTGCCCCTGTAAACGCAGCCTGTCAACGCACGCGCAACTAATAAAGTTCCGTGTCGAGCAAGTGTCATAATATGCCCCGGCCTTGCGGCCGCCTACGACTATCTCGCTGACGAACATCTCACCCTTCGGGGCTTTAGCTAGTGTCGTCCAAGAAGCTAGCGGGTCTAGTCTAGACCACTCCTCCTCTAGCTCCTCTAAGGAATCAAACACATTCATCGAGCAAAGGGTCGATGGGTCAGAATGCGTTTGCGGGACGACAAGGGAATCAGTAGCTTGGGCCATGATGCGAGATGGCGAGGGTGTCTCCACCACCTCATCCCTAGTAGGAACAGCTACTATTCCTACTGGCCTGACGTGTTTCCCGGAGCTGTGCCTTATGAACTGGCAACATTGCTACCTACGGGAGATGAGGATCCTACTGCCTGCCCCATAGTAGGCGGGATCTTATCGGTGACCTTCTTGTTCCTACATTTGAACTGGTTATGGCCGTATTGACCACAACGAATGCAGTCCTGTCGGTTCCACCGATCTCTCCACACGTCCTCTGAAAGACCCGCTTTCTCCCATGGAGGAGCATTGGGCTCAACCTGATTCCTAGACTGGGAGCCCCCTCGGCGTCTACCGGTCCCCTTACCTTTTTGTTGGGTTACGACGGCGACTACTCCACCCTCTGAAGCATCGCCACCTGCCTCTGCACCTACCCCTAACTGGGAGTCGTCGTCCAACTCAATGGTTGAGCCATCGTGGTCGACGAACATAATGCGGCCCTTGGCTTTCCAGTTAGGAGGCAGGGTCTTCTTTTTCCCGTCCGTCACTGAGTTATGTC